CTGATTTCAAACTAACCAAGGGGAAGCGCACAAACAACACACATTCCCTGGGTTGGCAGTAATCACCGGCTCGATTGGGTATTGAGGTGTATTGGGCACCTTGGACGTTTAACCCCGTCCGAAGGGCGAATGATCCGATGAACTGGACACCAGCTCCCAATGGATTACGGTTTTCACACACCGCAACGCTGCTTTGTGGGTCAGGCTTTGGCTAGCCGAAGGCTTCGGTTGTGAATTCCTCAAGAAAATTCACCTGCCTTGGCCTGGGCAACCTGGCAGTTTTGAGCCCACATGCAAATCATGCAAATCAGGAGAAATCAAGCCTGTGATATCGCGCAGTAACCTTTAATTCGATTATGCACATGAAATCACACGGAAAGTTTCAGTTTCAGTTTAAAAAACCACTAAGGATGAATTTCGGTAAGACACGGAAAGTGGACATGCATTCAACAGTGAAATGAAAAAAAACTAAGAGTGCTCACCTCTTCTAACGCCTGTGCGGCCTGAATCGATAACAGACTGCTTGATCCTGGCTGTGCATCATGAATCACTTGTGAGCTAGAGCCAGCACTCGTGCCCCAACGAGCTGACTGTGGTAGACGCAGTTGTTCTAACTGGCTGTCAGCTTTTGCACGCTGAGCCTCACGTTTCCGTTGCTCCATAAGAATGCGTGCCTGTTCCTGTGCTAAAGCCGCCTGTTCTTCGGCCAGAAGCGCAGCTTCTTCCTCGGCCAAACGACGAGCCTCGGCAGCTTCCGCCAATTTGCGTTCCAACGCAGCCTGCTTTCGTCGCTCGAATTCCGCTTCCCAAGCAAGCTGACGTTCTTGCTCCGCAGTTAACCTAAAGCCAGAATTAAAGCAATGTTGATCACAAAGCATTTGTAATTTTACGGAATAAAACTAACTGACCAAATACTGAAAAGTTGCTAGCTACTTCGTCGAGACGGCTAACATTCACTGAGAGAGCTCTAGTTAGGTTCTGACGAACTGCTAAAACTGGACTGACAACTCACTTTGTATCAAGCAAGCATCCCTTTTACTTTTCGAACGCGTATCCGCATAAAGAAATATAGTTACCGGTACAACTTTCACCAGTTTGTTCATTTGGTAGCATGTAGAGTGTGTGTGTAAAGATCGAACTCGATTTTCATTTTGTTGCAATCTAGTTGATTTCCTTTCAAAATAACCAAGCTTAATGGCACGAACAGACAGGAGGTGTGAGGCAAAATGCCTACTCAATATCTGCAGTGAACAACTTTCAGAAGGATGTGTGTAAAACGAGGGAATAACCGATCCTACTTCGTTTCGGGTCGATCGATTCACGGCTGTTCAACACATGCAGGTTAACGATACTAAGCAAGGTAGTTTATCACACAGGGAACCACCCGGGCCTTCCTCGTAATCAGTACGATTTTATACAGTCACGACAAACAGAGTGATACGCCTCAAGGTTGCCCAAATGGATGGGCCTACGTATATTAATCATTCTCCCCGACAGTTTTAGTGTAACTCACTATCATGGAACAGAATATGATTGAAAAAGATTCCACAGAAAGCAAAAAGGTATTGTGCGTTAATTCAAATAAGCCATAGGAAAATAGGAAAATAACAATTTCGAAAATGGTGGGCTGCTTAAAGTCAACGATCGGTGGAGTTGTAAGCAAAAAGTTGTCTCCAGGTTGCGGATAGCAGCAAACCAACCGGATGGTTAACCAGGACGGGTAGGCACCTCATTGTTTTTCTAACTGTATTTTAGAGGAAAAAGAACTGGCTTTGAAGATAACTGACACTAGGGTGAAGGCTACCAGGTAAAATTATTCAAAAACAAAAATAAACGGCGTTTCAATAACACTCCAAAAAATAATCAACAGACTGACTTGTTTTTCTTGGTCTTTTTGTTTTTCTTTTTCCCAACCTTTTTCGCACTTCCATCGCCTCCAACCGCATTCTGGGAATCAGGCACAGCTTGATCCGCGATGGGCTCAGGCTCAATAACGACAAACTCTTTAGGTGTCTCTTCTTCGGTTGGACTATCTACTATCGCTTCTAATGGATGCTGATCAGTCGAACTGTCTGTTGGTGCAACGCCTGGTAGATCTGGAACCGTTACCAATGGTGAGTCAGGTGATTGCTCCGGTAATTTGGTTTCTGTTTCAACCGGCTTCGTGACCCCAGTATGAACATCAGGTATGGTGGCCTCCCAGCCCGGAGGTGATGAAACAGGAAGCTCGACAGGCGCGCAAGCAGGTTCCGTGTTTTGAATCATCGAAAAATCGGAGGCAAGTAATTTCGCAGCAGTTGAGTTAATAACCGCCAACTTTTCTACCAGCTCTTTCCGTTCGGCCTCCACTTTAGCTGCATGAGCTGCTAATGCCTGAGCTTCCGTGTACAATCTTAGGAACTCTTGACTGCCATTCACCAGATCCATGGGAATTTGAGCAGAAGGAAGTGGCGAGGGACAGGAAACCGCTACACCAGTGGACAATTTTCCCACTGTTGATGCGTCGGGGACTTCCATAACCTAAAAGGGTCAAAAATCGGGTTGCTCGATGGATTTCGGTCTGATATTCAATGGATTGCTGTGTGCTGCTGTGTTTACAGTAAGCAGAAAGTGATTCACGACCGGATCGCAGTGTAAAAATATCATCTTAAATGACCATGGTTTGACACAAAGGAAGGGAACTCTTGACTGGTTGTGCAAGTTACCAATTTGATCGTTTGAGGACATGTGTAATCAGTGGCTGGAGACGAGACGAGATATGTTGTGCGCATCGTCGTTGGTTCCAGTTGTGACTGACATGAGTAATTTGTCGGGAATTATGGGCGGTGCATATTAACCAAATCCACTAGGATTAGAACCTGGGCATGAAAGGTAATTAATCCAACTAGTTACTGGAGGTACCCGGGCTGGTTCTCAGCAGCTTGCTTAACGCAAATAGTACATGATATAGCGTAAGTCATTTTATTTATACGAGGAAAGCCCATTTATTCCCCATTCTCGTCGCTTTTCATTGACTCAAATGAGCTGTGACACGCGCATAAATTAAGGTCGGAGTACAATTGCACAAGGTTAAAAAGTTTAACAGAGACACTGCTTCAGATTCGTATGAAAACAGAACTAATATGGACGTGAAAACTAGTGAACGGAGAGAAAGTGGGATCAGATACAGGGAAATGGTTAGTGACGATTGCACATCCATGCATCAAACTTTTATCACAGATGTGGAGTGAACATCCTGAATTATTTTTTTCTCCAACGGCTTTTCACACAACATTCTTGATGCCCGTCCAAAATGATTACTCTTTTTTGACTGATCAGGTGAGTACACATTGATGTGTTTGATTTTCGATTGTCTTTTAATGGTAGGACGGTTCAGTTTGTGCAATTAAGCTTGCGATTTTGCGTAGCGGTTTCGGTTGCTGTCCGAAAATCGCCTGGGGCAATCAGTTGCGGGCTGATATTTAACAGATTACAATGAGTAGCACAGAGAAGTATTTGAGTAACTCAGTAACAAGATTTGAATGTTCTCCTTTTTCAATGTAACTCTGGTGTTCAGGTTCGACTTCATTGAAGTTGTGGTGACCACACATATCCTAAATCAGACAGATTATCAATCTATTTGATAAGGACTCGCTGTAAATAATGGAACGAGAGCCAGATACATGAGATTTGGGTGTCCTAGACTGAACTGTTCTCGATTAGGGGTTAACGTTTCTAATGAAATCGAGAAAAACAGTGCAGGCTCAAACCACCTTCAAAATCATTGCACTTTTCGTGGAACCTGTAAGCACAGATAATCTTCATTCTGGATGGATTGTCATCAGAATAGACTAGGCTCGAGGTTGACAACGAGAGACATTGGAAGCGATCGGTGAAGTTCACTTCACTGTATTTGGTTGTACGATGATGATGAACGGGAGACTGTCAAATTATCAATGTTAAGAGAATTTCTCGATGGAAAGCAAATGGTGGATACACGTGATATTATAAGAGCTTCACTTGAAACAAAAATATGTGAATAGAGTCATTCTCCGTTGTGGATAACAAACAAGTAGACCAAGAGTCACTCCAGTAAACCGGTTCCCTCGAGATTTCCCGCATCCTAACGCATGTCCCAAATAGAGGTGGAATGGGTAGCTTTCTACCTAACAGCAAGTTTAGTATGAGGAAAAATGTACCGTGTCCCGGGGATTAAAAAGAATAGTAAATAATGACTAACCGATGGAACCACAGGAACTGTTGTTGGTTGTTGCGGCGGTGCAGGTGGTGGTGGCTGAAGCATGGACTGTGGCCGTCCAGACACCACCATGCGCGCCGCTTGTTGACTGGCCGTGGCGAACAGAACAGCCGTGGCAGCAGCAGCAGCAGCTACCGCCGTGTTGCTATCCAGAGTAGTACTCGGTCCGGTTATTGCAGAGGTCGGAAAAGTAGGGACCAATGGAGTACCTGGAGCCGATGGGATCGGGTTCACGGGGGTCACCTCTGTGTTGGTACCGGAAACCCAGCGAGGTTTAACAACCGAATGGCCAGTGGCTGTGGCAAGGGTCTGGCTCAGAGCAGCAACATTTGATCGAGTAATTGGCTTTAACGAGTAACCGTCCCAGAAAGGGACACGTCCGGCTAGATTCATGTGATCCGCTGAGAAAGATAAGGAGATGAAGCGCGGGTTGAAAAGAACAACTTGAGTAAAATGAGACTAGTACTGAGGCCTCTAGGATAATAAAATACGATTCAAAAAAATAAAACTAACAAAAAATGATGCGCTTTCACCAGTTTAGACCAACGAGAAACGCTACGATCGAAAGGACCCCGAAATTCTACTATTTTAAATGCACTTTCGTGGTGAGGTTTTGATTGCTGCTTTTGTATGTCCCTTTCAATGAAGGAATAGAGACAGAGATGGAATACTGGAAGCCGTATCAGTGTGAAGATAGAGAACTCCGATGGACTGCCCAAAAAAATGAGATGCTCAAGTGCCACCGTTTATTGCATTCAACCGTTTCCGGCAGTCTCAAGCCATCGATTACACTGATCCCGAGGTTCAAAACTGGGGAGATTGACGCAATCCATATGTCACAGTTTCCTGATCAGGGATTTCAGATACTCATACCAGGACTTAATTTGACCGTCTATAAACTGCTAAAACCGCTAACTACCGCAACAAAAATCACACACCGTGATAGTCCAATATGTGACATGTGTAACACATGCCTCCGCCGGTGTCATCCCCGATGAACGATCGCGATTGCGTGCGAATGAGGTAGTTCCATGTCTCTGATCGTTGCAGCGCCATTTCTGGAGGCGACAACCAGTTGCTGATCCCGTGATTGTGCCACACCAAACATCTCCCTACCACATTTTGTAGTAGACCATCTCCCCCTTCACCCATCACCAACCTTCATCAGCGCGCTATGGTCAATCAAACTTTTTACGTTACTAACAAATTTTGTAGTTTGGTTTGATGCTCGAACTTGACTTGTCCACGACGCAGAGTGAATGACTCGTACGTTTTTTATTTTCCGCTATACATGATTATTAATCAGAGTGAGAATACAAAAAATCGTTGAACAGTCCTATTCTTATGTCACCTTGTTGTTACAGAATGGAACACGGGAAAGAATGTATCACGTAAGGTCAAAGATAAGGATGAATAATGAAGGAGTGTGGTTTGTCTAAAAAAAGATGTGAAACGGGATCAGGCGATCTAGAATTTCCATTCGCTTGTGTAAGGCTGCCAGTCCTGTGCGCTTCTGTACTTCTCGCCGCTCGAAGCTGATTCGATGAACCTCAGTTGTGTCCTGGACGAATTATTTAAATCGACAATGCATTGAGGCCGCTTATCGAGTTCGTAATTCAGTGTTGGCTACTGCCTCATCGACCGGATCATACGCCTTTCAGAGAGGGATTCCACACCCAATGTGACGATAGACCCAGTTACCGATACATGAGGCGATTGCATATTCAGTAGTCCTGAGTTAATGCATGGGCCTCGCCAACAACCTTTTCTCTGAGACTGATCGTAATGACTTAAATTTAGACGAGGGACAGCACTGAAACCTTGCACCAGTTTAGGCCTTGGATTACTTTTTCACAAGATCCTTAGTTCAACTCACCCAAAGTGAGAAAACAATCGTCACAATCTCGACGAAGTTCAATTCCTAAGGGCAGAAATCCAGCCGCCATCCACCCGCTCATTTGCACGTTGCCAAAAGGTCCTTGGACTTGTCCCGCCGAATCGATGTAGAACCACTTAAAACCGGGTGACGCAGATATCTGAGCCCCAGATGTTTGGGTTATGGCAACAGAAGCTAGTCCTTCAGGGACAACAGAACCCGTTGTTGTCGACAGCATGGATTCAACGGTTGTCGTCTGCACTGTGTGTGGAAAGGGAGGTATTGGTGATGAGGGAACACCTTCGGTTATTGGAGCTCCAGATGACGTTTGTTTCGACAGAGTTGGGATGCCGAACCCCGGTGGAGGTTCTAACGAGCAGGATTTCGAGTACACACGTAAATTGGTCATGCACTGAAAACAGAAAGAGCATTTGGTGATACACAAATATGAGAAAAGCAAAACGGGTTCGTCACATATTGTTTAACTGAAAACTGAACAAAAATACAATCAATCTACAAAATCTACAGGAGTGAATAGTGTGAGTATAAACAACAAGCCCGTAAGAGATTGAACTAAAGCGATCATCAGCAAGTTTTTCTTCTGGTATGAACACGCCCAATTACGTGGTTTACCGGTGATTACCAACTCTTATAACTACAAGGGAATTTTTTCCAACTATGAGCATCAAACCGTGGTTTATAATATAAGAACCGAAACAAAAATTATTTCACTTTTATCCGAACCTATGCGACTTCGGAATTTAATATTAGGTTTTACCTTCATTTAATCAAAGTGAGCCATGATATAAAATGTGATAAAATGGTCATAACTCACGCAGTTGGTTCATTTATTCTCACAACACAACGGACACTTGAGAACGTGTAGCTTCGCTCTTTGTCAGACACTACGCAGATCTCCTTTAGCACATTTTAATCAGTCTATCCAAAAGCCTTTGGTCAACATTTTGCGACAAAATGAAATGCCTATTATTACTCGGAAAAAAATCTCCGTAAATCAAAACGAACATATTTCAAAAAAAGGATAGAAAATGAGTTCGTGCAGTTAAGCTTGGTACCAGAAACAGCATACATGGACAGAACCAACCGTCAATTATCACAGCAGATGGCCGAACATATTCCAAAGTATTTGGTGAAGTCGATGAAGCAACCCACACATGTAACCCGGAGTCATCAATTGCAAAACACATCATGAAAACCAAACACAATCGATCCCGTTTCCTCTTTCAAACCGTTGTTACGCAACTGCAATGCAAACCTGTTGGTAATAAGTGAGCCGTTGCTAGTCAGATCACATCATCTCGTTCTGTGCGCCTAAAAGTTGTTGACCCAATCAGTTCACTTGCCGTGGAGTTAACCTGTTGTTTTAATTATAATAGCCCCTGTCTATCTGTACATGTCCGTTCACTAGGATTTACAATTCTAATGTGCCATAAATGTGCTTGTTCGTCTTACGTCAGCAATCGAGAAGATTGAACGAAATGTTAACATCTCGTGACATATGCTCGGGAGAGCAGAGCTGTATGCTACCGAGCTCGTCCCCAGGTCGCGGATAGGAGAACGTCCGTCATCTTACGGCTAACCGTGAATAAAGCGGGCCTCGGCCCACCGAATAAGCAGTCGCGGACGATCAGCGGTAGCGCTTGAGGATGTGGTGGGTTTACCCCTGGCAAGGGTTCTTCGCACAAAACACAACATATCTGTGGACAGCACTGTGACGTGGCGAGTGTGGCCCGGCACCAAATATGGTCATTGCTCCTTGCTCGACAAGGCTTTCCAGAAGAAGCGAATGAACCAACTACTGGCCACCGGCGCATCTGAAATATC